AATATGACGTTGTGAATCCCTTCACGTGCCCTCCCTTGGGCCCTGAAGTGGGTTACAAAGCTGCGTAGTTATTTCTCCTTACATGCAGACTGCCTGGTTCATGACAGTGAGAGCCTGGGCACAGCCATAGCGAGCAAGGTTCTCCCTTCTTCATCATCTCACGGGTCTCCAGGCGTGTTCATCAGGGTCTTCTGAGCTGGGACCGCTCCGTATAACTCCTGCTGTTCTCCCACACTTCTGCTCCTCCGGGACCATCACCCTCAGGGTGCTGCTTAATTCAGGTGCAGGGAAGACTGTCACTATTTTCTTTAAATTAAAGACTCCAGGCTATTTTTAATGTTTTATTTGCAGTCCCAGAGCATCTGTTCTTGCTGCAGTGACCTACAGCCGTTGTTTGGCAATATGTAAAATACCACGATATTCGACGACCTTGTGTCCAGCTGGTCTCACCTTCGCCATCACTCAGTGTTTAAACGGGAACACAAACCCTTAGTGGCTTAAAAAGCACAAGTCTGTGGCTACAGCACTGTTGCTCGGCTCATCGTGGCTTCCTCCCGGCGCTGCCGCTCTCAGAACCAAAAGCTTTTTGCTCGTTGTGCAAGCAGCGCTTGCCGTTTTCGGGGAAATCAGCGGTTAGCCGCGTCTAACGGCCCTCGGTGGCTCCAACGTGGGGGGGTGGCATCTGACCGCGAGAGCGCTGGGAAACACCCCGCGTGGCTCCAGGAGGAGAGTTACAGAGGGGAGAAGGGGCATCCAGCATCGCAACCCCCTTCCCTGGCGAGTCATGAGGAACAGGGAATGGTGTGGCAAAGGCATCTTGCGTCTCGTTTTGCCTTCACGCTGATGAGCTGCCAATGGCTTTGGAGCTCCTCTCCTCTGAACGGGCGGGAGCTGCTGCAGCTCCACCCTTAGAAAGGTGTTTTAGCTTGTCTGTGTGTCACGTTAAATGCTCCAGGACTTGAGGTGCAAACGAGTTTCTGACTGGAATTCGTTTTACCTCAGGAAGCAGAAATAAGGCAATCAAACCAGCGGTTTATCACCGTCGTTATTATGTGTTTGGGGTCTTGTGATCCAAATCATCCCCTGGCTCCCCTGCAGAAAGCACACGCTGCATCTCGGAGTTTAGCTGGAGCCAGCCAGGCTTGTGCTTTTAGGCAGAGCTGCCTTAATTCTGGATAAATCTGTTTCAAACAGAAAGCTGAGCAACCACGGCTATCGCAGGGGTAGGACCCACTTCCCCTTGTTTAGATACTTAGTGATTAGAGCTGGGAATCACCTCAGATGTCTTTAGGGGAAGAGCTTATCTCCTTAACTTCAGATAAACACCATGTGACCTCTAGGCGCTGGCTGGGTACGTGGGCTCCCTTTACGACCAAGGAAGATTCGGTCGAGTCCATCAGCGGGGCCCGGTGTGGCTCCCTGCAAGGCAGACACCTACGTGTTGTCAGCTGAAGAGATTGACAAACCCTGCTGATTGCGTTGGCCAGAGTTGTGTCAGCTGTCACGAGGCCTTAGCTCACAGAGAGGTAACGACAGACACTCAGATTTGGGTCTTAATACGAGCTGAGTCTCAAAGAGGGTGAAATGAATCCCATTCTGGAGGAGTCCTCTAGCTGGTGGGTGAAAAGGGCACAGAAACAGAGAAATGTATTTTTTTTTTTCTTCAATTAGAAAGGAGTTGAAGACTTTTTTGGCTTATGAACGTGTAAATCCTGCGCTGGGATGGTGACTCCTCTCCATCACGTGCCAGCCAGGTACAGGGGAAGAACCAGGAACCTGGAGCACAACCCTCATCTCTCCAGGCTAGCTGGAAATGGAGCTGCCCTCAGTTTCCCTTAGTACAGAAATGAAAGGGAAAGTCTCGGTTTGGCCTTACTTCCTTGAAAACTGATGGCCAAGGTATCTCTTGTTTTCAAAAGAGAACCGGGAGATACTCTAACCGCTCGTTTTAGACACAGTTACTGCCCTGGAGCAAAAAACCCTCCTGAGGTTCTTGTGGAAGAAGCAAGGAGACCCAAACACCGGTGAGTTCCTCTCTGTGTCTGCCTTTACCAACAGTCATGGCTCGGGAAGACAGTTTGAACCCAAGAAAGAGAAATTTGCATTTTCCACGTTTCTTGAGAAAGGGGGAAAGTGAAAAGGGGAAGGTTGGGTTGAGACACGCTGGGCAGGACCGAGCTCAGTTGGCTCGAGACACCTGCAGTGTCAGCACGTGCATCTAAGGCAGAAGCCCCCGAGAAAGGGATGCTTGTGTGCGACAAAATGCGGGTGTTTGAGAAGGGAGGGGTGAGGTTCTACACCACACAGAGTAACAGCAGCACCGAGAATGGCTGGTTTGGATGCTGTGAGGTGTAATGCGTGTGTCTGAGATGTCAACACCCAGTTACCCAACCATCCCCCAAGGTGAAGAAGGAAATTAAGGAGGAAGAGGAGATGGCCGTCCAGTGTGTGAGGTGCAATGGGGAACAGCAGCCTCCTCTCCCCCCTGCCCAAGCTGGATCTCCTGAACCCATTTAAAGGTGTTAAAGCGATTTAGCGTAACCCTGTCTGCAACCAGCTGCTCTCTTCTACGGGGAACAAGTCACATCACCACATTTCCTTTCCTGCTTTCACAAGCACCAAACATCCATCCTGGGGGTATTTCATTTTTGAAGGACATGATGCAAAGTAGCTTTTCAAAGACAGATTTTTATTTTTTTTTTAGTCTGAAATGGGCAGATGGGAATCACACAAACTTCCAAAAGGGAAAATGCTGAGTCTTGCCCATGGGGAGGAATCGCCCCAGGCACCAGGACAGGCTGGAGAGCGGCTCGGCAGAGAAGGACGTGGTGCTTGCGGTGGCCACCAAGTGGAAGAGGAGCCACCGAGACGTCCTTGCAGCAAAGGCGCCCACCAGCACCCCGAGAAGAGGGTTGTCAGCGGGTCAAGGGACTTGCTGCAACGAACCTCGGACCTGCAGCCTGAGGAACGGGGAAGTAAAAGCTGCTTTGAGGAGGGTTGACAGGAGAAGAGGAATCATCCAGAAGAAACGGTCATCTCGCTGGTGCTAGGAAATGGGCAGCGAGGCTGATGGAAAGAGGGAAGTGAGAAGGGAAGAACTAGTAATAGTCATTTGTCAAACAGGCAATACATGTATTTTAAGGTCATTTCTAGTGGATAACACGAGAAGCAGCCATTTCTTCTTTTTTTTTTTTTTTTTTTAAATAAAACCACGTGAATAAGAACAGAGGAAGAAAAATAAACCAGGTAAAATTATAGTGATTGATACTGGACACGAAGATGCGTGACTAGCAGATGGGTAGCAGGGAAAAAACAAACAAAACAACAGAAGAAGAAGAAAAAAAAGTAGTGATTGAAATTTGTGCACCTACTTGCAAATGTCTACAAGGGAGCTACCTAAACCCGGGTTCACTGTCCCGACCCGTGCATGGGTGGTGGATCCCACCCTTGGAGAGAGGCTTTCAGGGAGCTGCATCCACGCAAATGCTGCTTATAGGGCCTGCTCTGAGGCTCGCCCTCCTGGGAAGCACTGGTGCAAAACCATATTCGAGCGTAAAGGGCAAATGGCAAGTTATCTCGAAAAAAGAAAACGACAACACGATGGCGAATGGATATCTGCATTTCAATCCACTTTTTCATTAATATTTCCACATCTGCTCTATGGAAATACGTGGTACAAAAGAAAAACTACTCTAACTGATCATTGCAAATATAAAGCAATAATTTCCTTAAATTAATCCATTACTTGGAGTAAGCTTTTTTTCCCTCCATGTTCCTGAAGAATAAAACAAATCTTTCAAATTGGAGTCTCCTCATTACGATGCTGTGTACACCAGGCGCATTGCTCAGGCTCTGAAGGCATCATTTCTGATGTTCCTGGGGGATCCCATCCCTAAAACCCTGGAGAGAAACCCCGGTGTTTATCCAAGGGAAGGCTCACTCTGTTTGCAGGTGCCCCAGAGACCCTGTGGTAATTTGTCCTGTGGGCATGGGGTAGGACTTAAACCTTCCAGCCACGTTAGAGGATGTAGTAGGGAAACCTTCCCAGTTGCGGAAAAAAACAATGGAACTTGGGTTTTAACTTCAGCTCAAGGACCAGTGAGCATCTTCCTGAGAATGACTCGAGATGCCGTTGACCGGAGAGAAGGGTGGAATTTGAAGAAGTTTTGAGACAATTTTTGGCTGGATGGGGAAGGGCTTCCTTAACAAGTGTGCCCACCCCCTGCAGAAGCAGGAACCTCTCCGTGAAGAAATATTGAAGTGATTAAGGTCCTTCCTGAAGGAAAAAGCTGCGCACCCCAGTACGTTTGAATCTTCATTCCTTACTCAAATTTCAGATAAAAACTCCTGATATAACCGGACCCAAGAGGTGCCAGGAAGATGACGTGCAAGTATAATTGGGATTTGCGAGGGGGTGGTTTTCCCTTGAAGCTACACATTCACGGAATTGCAATCAGGTATGCTGGTCTCACTTTAATCAACCCAAACATGTCACTACAGGGTCAGAAACTCACACCAACATGGTCTGTTATCTATTGAACGCGACACTAATTAACGTGGGAAATTAAGGCACAATATTATTGTATTTACTTGACCCTAAATAAGAACAATCCCCCCAAAAAGGGAAAGAAATCCTCCCAAACCTGCCCACATATTAGAAAGGATTTGGATGCTCATGAGAAGACATGGTTTGTGAGATCTTTTGCGAGACCAATTCTTTCCATAATGTGCCAGCCAGAGCTTTGAGAATTTTTTTTTCCATATTATGATCTCTTTGCTGTTATTTTGTCAATACATTCTTTTTCAATACATTCTTTTGGATCTTCAACCTGTCCACTGAGGATAGCGACCGTATTTTCTCTCCAAAGAAGTGGATGCATTCAGCCAGGAGACACCAAGCCCCGCGTTAGCCTCAGGCACTACACATTCCTGCAAGCTGGGAGAAATTATTTCGCCTCTTCCCCACGTTTCTTTGTCTCCTCTGTGCTGGCGCCAGGAGAATGGCTGGGGGAAACCACTCGAGCGTGACCGAGTTTGTCCTCTTGGGCTTCACCGACCTGCAGGAGCTGCTCCTTGTGGTTTTTTTACTCATCTACATCACCACGTTGGTGGCGAACCTGGGGATGATCATCCTCATCAAGACCAACTCTCAGCTTCATGTGCCCATGTACTTCTTCCTCAGCCACCTCTCTTTCTTGGACGTCTGCTATTCTTCATCCGTCACGCCAAAGCTCCTGTCGGGTCTCCTTGCAGAGAGAAATGTCATTTCTTTCAATGGCTGCATGACACAGTTTTTCTTCTACGCGGTATTCGGCACCACGGAAGCCATTCTCCTGGCCGTCATGGCGTACGATCGCTACGTGGCCATCTGCGAGCCTCTGCACTACGTGGCTGCCATGTCCCACAGGGTCCCTGTCCAGCTGGTGGTGGGCTCCTACGCTGCCGGGAGCCTGAACGCCCTCGTACTCACCGGCGCTCTCCTCCGGCTCTCTTTCTGTGGCCCGAACCTTGTCAATCATTTCTACTGTGAAATCCCAGCGCTCCTGCTGCTCTCGTGCTCCGACACCCGGCTCAGCAAGATGGTGACGGACACGTGTATTGGCTTCATCGTCACGACCTCAGTCTTGACCATCGTTGTCTCCTACGCCTGCATCCTGCTCACCACCCGCAGCATCTGCTCTGCCGAGGGCAAGCACAAAGCCTTCTCCACCTGCACCTCCCACCTCATGGCTGTTGCCCTCTTCTATGGCTCTGTGGCTTTCCTCTATTTCCATCCCTTTTCCAGACATGTAGAAGACCAAGGGAAAACAGCCTCTGTCTTCTACACTGTGGTGAGCCCCATGCTCAACCCTTTCATCTACAGCCTGAGGAACAAAGAGGTGAGGAGCGCCCTCAGAAGAGCTACGGACAAGCTCCTCTCCTGCATATATTCCTACAGGTCCTGCTCTAACCAAACCTGCCCCAGTGGAGTCAGCAGAAGGAGTAAGGCTGACACCTGACAGAAGAAGGGCACTGGCACCGTACTTTTCTGCACAGCTGGTGGGATGTACATGCTCTACCTCGTGCTGAGGACCTCAGAGTTTGAATTATGGGTGAATTCCATGTTGGGGTCCGTTGAAAAATAAATTACTCCTAATTATCATGTCTGAAAGAAGGGAAGAATGCAGGAAAGACAGATGATCCTAAAAACTCTCACATTGTCAGTGAAGCTTGGGGAGTAAATGAACCTGCAAGCAGCTCTAGAACGTGCACGGTTTACCACAGTTTGCCAAGAGTTTCTCCTCTTTTTGCCACAGAGGATTTATTCAGTGTGACAGCCGTATAAGTTCTGTGGCCTGAAAGAGGTGGCTCAGAGCAGAAGGGGTCAAGCTAAATAGAGACTACGTGTTGGAGAGGGACAATGTCTTTCACAACTTTGTTTTCAGATTTTCTAAGTAGTTGCCAAAGGCTTTGCTTTAGTACAATAAACCTGATTTATTATTTCCTCTGATTTGTCCAAGGATAGTCGTTATGGGGGGATAGCACATCTCCACACCTCATACATGCTGCGTGCAGACGACCTGTGCTGGGCATCTCGCTTTCCTTACGGGTGTCCCCTGTGGACATCTACCAGCCTGGAGCCACCACGCTGACACGCTCCTTTGCTTCAGAGCAGGCTGGAGTTTTACCTCATGACGAGCAGTCACTCAGCTTGGCCAGGAACAGTCTTTCCAGACGTTGTCTGACCAGTCCTGGCTTTTCCCAGGGTGCTACCTGGTGCTGACAACCCCGAAAACCTCCACGCTTCTGGCCATATGGTGTGTTCAGATGTGCCCGACCCGTTCGACGGCTCCAAGACTCTCGACATCGGCCAAAGCTCCCGCCAACATCTCTGCTGCTTGTGTCTCTCCATCCAAGCAAAGTTTATTTTCCATCCCAGCTGCAGCTTATTCATAATTTCTGCTTCAGGGATTGAGTCATCTCGGTCCAGGAGTCACCCTGTCTAATTGTAAGGCTTTCACATCCGAACTAGTGTCCATAAGTTCCTCTTACGGAGACAACTGCATCTGGGGGCTTTGATTCATCTGATCTATTTTAAACACCCACATCAGGGTGAGATGAATTCTTCTGGAAAAAGTGTATGGTTGTCTCCACCTGGGGCTTGGCAGCGAAGGGTGACGGGCTGATATTAGGAAAAACTTCTTCACTGGGAGGGCTGTCAAGCACTGGAACAGGCTGCCCAGGGAAGTGGTGGAGTCACCATCCCTGGAGGTGTTTAAAAGACGTGTAGATGTGGCGCTTCTTGGGGACGTGGCTTAGCGGTTGGACTTGGCAGTGCTGGGTTAATGGTTGGACTCGATGGTCTTAAAGGTCTTTTCCAACCTAAATGAATCTGTGGCACAGCTGCCCAGCAAATGTGGATTTTGTTCAGCGCAGTCACACTCAGGGCATATTCTGAAGAGTTACTTTAGGCATAAATTAACTAATAAATTAATTAAATAAAGCATATTCCGTTCTATAAGGGGAAAGCTTCAGTTCCCCGTGCTGCTGTTTTGGAGTCCTTCAAACACCCCACTCCAAAGTGAGAAGGTGGAAGTAGCCTTTAATCAATAATTTATAACTCAGCTGAGCATGAGTGCTCAGCATCCACAAAACGCTTTCTGGAAAGAACAGAAAAGCAAAATGGATGAAGACAGCGCCAGAGCCACGCTTCTGCTTTGACAGAAAGGTCGCTGACACCAGATATTGACTTCCTGAAGAAAGGTTTGTGCTTTCCACAGGCGGATAGGAAATAATTCCCTCAAAGATCTATTACTGACATCGGGACTTTGTTGTTTTAAGAGCAATAAAAGCAAAACTTTTCTCCCTAAACCTGGCTGTGACTCTCTCAGATACCTGGATCTGACTCTCTGGGTTTTTAAACGACAGGATTTCCCAGATAATGTTAAGACAAATTGCAGCAGCAGAGTTCCTGAATAGTTTTCCCTTCCTCCCCAATAGCATTTGCAACACTTCTCCAACTCCTGAGCCACCTCCTAATCCTTGAAGCTCGATTTCATACACCAATTCTTTTAAAGTCTCTGTGATGCCAAGAGATAAAATCTGTATTCCAAGAGATGAATTTATATATACATGTATATAAAAATAAAATTCTTTATATATAAAAAGAAGTGGGAAAAAATACTCAAGCTCACATCTAACTTGCTGAAACTAATGATGTTTATTTATCAGTGCCTGTGTGTCTTCCTTAAGGAGCTGTTTCCAAAGTCGTCAATTCCCAAGGGAAATCTCCTGCCTGACACCACGGGGAGGGCAGCGGCAAAACCCTTGGTCTTGCCGCGAAAGAAGCCTATAAACAGCGGCTTTTCTGGGTCAAGCATTGACGCCCTCCGTGACTGGCAAATCATTCGCACTTTTAACACCAACGCCGGGAGAAATTGGCTCCCGTAAAATTTTAGTCTAGGAGATAACAAGTCTCCGATAAACCAAAACCCGAGGTGTGAGCGACAGGTGAGCTTCAGTGTAAAAAATGCTGCCAAGGGGGGGGGACTTTCCCAACGAAATAGTCGCCCAAGGGCAGGGTAACTCATGCGAAACCCGGGTGTTTCTGAGTTGCTTTTCCCCCTTTCAGGCAGCCGCCAGCTGAGGCCGTGAGTAAAACCAGCGGAGACACACTCCATCTCAGCGGGTCGTTTTGACCCAGATCACCGCGCTTCGTAATTATTGTCCAGCGGACGGGGAGGGCAGCGGCTGGGTGAAGGGGGTGAAGCAGCTCTGCAAAGCCGCGGTGCTGTGAGACGTCACGCTGGCAGAAACCCCTCGCCGTCCCCGCCTGGGGGTTTTTCTCGGACCCCTCACACGAGGCAGAGGGGAGGACGGATGGCGCGCGGGCTGCTGTTGGCTGTTCTGGGAGCACCCCGGGTTCTCTGGCAGACTCCAGGTGGTTCTGGAGGGGTGTGAAAGCTTCGGCAACTGATTAGTGCTGATTGATTTCATTAGCGCCGGAATGAAACGCAAGGCTTTGTTTGACTCGGTCCAGATTTAGGGAGGCTCACGTGTAAGCCAAGCAAGGGCACATGTGCCGAACTTTCCTCACCTTTCCAATGGTCTAATCTGTATCTTGTTTAACAGCTCAAAAACCCTCAGTGAGCAATTGCTGTGACTGTTCCTGACTCTGGTTTTAAGAAGGCATGAGCTTAATTTTATATATATATATATTTTTTTTTTTTTTTAACTACATTATCAGCATCTTACTCCCCCCAGCTCATGACGGTACTGTAGCATTGTTGGGATTTCCACCTGTACCAAGCTTTTACAATTCTTTCCGCTGTCTTTCTCTGTTCAGTGGCATCACAAGGATGATATGGATATCACCGTATTCAAAGAGGGGTTAATATTTACGCTAAATCTCCTGTTTCAAACTTCATTTCAGCGTTTCATAGGAAGAAATGAGAGTTTTGTTTGAACTTGTTCTGACTCTCCTAAAGGAAATTATTGAAAAAATAAGTCTTGGTCTCTTAATGCTGCTTTCTCTCTTTCAGTCTTCTGAAACAAGAGTTTTTTTTTTTGTTGTGGGTTTTTTTGTGTGTGTGCGTGTTTGTTCATTTATGTATTTATTTATTTTTTATTTATTTATTTTGAATGCAGACTGGTTTCTAATGTCAGCATAAATTGCTGTGGTTACCTCTTTGGATCTGATAAGTAACAGACTTCTTAACTTCTTCAGGAGGTAGAATAAGCTTTCTGATTTGCAAAGTGACTTTATCAAACCAAATTAGTCATGCCTACACCAGAATAAAACCATCAGAAATCAATTCAATCCTGCACTCTGTTTACTTTAAAATGCATTTTGAGACAAACACCGAATATGTTGTTCAGCGGTTCCTGCCTCTGAAATGTGTATTTCCTGATAAAAATAGATGCACCTTTAACGTCTGTTTGTGGGGAGAACAGGAATAAGCTGACTCTGTGTTTCTCTGCGTCTCTGCTTTCCTATAGCAGTTGTGTTACGATGATGTCTGGTGCAAATCGCACCCCCAGCGCTGAATTTGTCCTCCTGGGGTTCTCAGAGCAGGGGGATGTCCAGGCCGTCCTCTTCATGGTCTTCTTGGTGATCTACATGATCACCCTGCTGGGGAATCTGGGGATGCTTGTGTTAATCAGGCTGGATGCCCAGCTTCACACCCCCATGTACTTCTTCCTCAGCAGCCTGTCCTTCCTAGACATCTGCTATTCCTCCTCCATCACCCCCAGGCTGCTCTCGGACCTCCTAGCAGATAGGAAGGTCATTTCTTACTCGGCGTGCCTCGCGCAACTTTATTTCTACGCCGTCTTTGCCACCACCGAGTGCTATCTCTTGGCTGTGATGGCCTATGACCGCTACGTGGCCATCTGCAGCCCGCTGCTCTACGCCACCTCCATGTCCAGCAGGGTTTGTGCGCTGCTGGTAGCTGGCTCGTACCTTGCTGGGATCGTGAACGCCACTATCCACACGGGGTTTGCGCTTCGGCTGTCCTTCTGCGGTCCCAACATCATCAACCACTTCTACTGCGAGGGCCCCCCGCTGTACGCCCTCTCTTGCACGGACCCCACCGTCAACGAGATTGTGATGTTCGTCGTGGTTGGCTTCAACCTCTTCGTCACCAACCTGACCATCCTCATCTCCTACACCTACATCCTGGCCACCATCCTGAGAATGCGCTCGGCCGCGGGGAAACGCAAAGCCTTCTCCACGTGTGCGTCCCACCTGGCTGCTGTGACCCTCTTCTACGGAGCTGCTGCGTCCATGTACTCACGACCCAGCTCCAGGCACTCCCAGGACCTTGACAAAGTGGCCTCTGTGTTTTACACCATGGTGACCCCCATGCTGAACCCCCTCATCTACAGCCTGAGGAACAAGGAGGTGAAGAATGCGCTGGGGAGAGCGATGGAGAGGAAACATTCATCTGAAAAATAGTTTTCCCTGGCGCGCCAGAGGAATTGGGAGGACTTCTCAGAAATGTTTGTACTCTCCTTTTCTGTATTGCTGTGGTATAAAAGCAGCAGCGCTCTCCTGTGAGTTACTGGGGTCAAAGGTATTGGGAAACCTCTGCCCTGATCCTAAATACTGGGTTGTTAACTCCTCTTGGATTAGGCCATTCACTGTCCTGTCTCAGCGATGCATTAGCTGCTTTTAGTTGTGTTTACAGCCTGGTATGACTGTAATTTCGAGGACTTAAGTCCTTCTGACCCTTTGTAGTATAAGAACGCATTGCCACTGTTGTCTTAAGCAACGACAACAAATAACACCCATTGTTTTCAGGGTGATGATGATGACCAGAGCTTTCTTCATATCAAAGAATGGGCACATTTCTGGTGAACACAAGCCTCGGGTAATTCAGTGCTCCCGGTACTAGCGATAGACGCTGGGCTTCCTAACAGCAGCTCCCTGCAACAAGGCTCGTCAGGCCTTTTCTGCAGCTCCTTTTAGCTCAACCCTAGCTGTATTTTCAAATTTATTTCAGCAACATCTGCAGCGCCTGCAACTTGCTCAAGGCCCAGAGGGCTGTTCTCTGGCATCTCCTATGGGCCCCACTAGTCAGGTACCTGCTCCTTATCCTGGCATTTTATTTTGGCTATATTATTACTAAATGGTTTTGCTTAAATTGTGTGATTTTTATGATAAAATAAATCGTGAGATACAGGGGAATGATTAACAGACTTTAGCAACTATAGCGTAGCTAACCCCACAGACCCATAGGAGAGAAGAGTGCTGACCTGGAACAGATAGGGGGTAGAAACATTTAGAAGTGATCCCAAGCTTCCAAGACTGGTATGGAAGAAGCTCCCATCACAACCAGTGCTCCCACCCAACACAACACCATACCTCCCCAGTAAGGAGCTCAGCGTGCTGCTGGGTCACTGCATCACCCCACCAAGGAAGAAGGACCTCAGTCTGCAGGTGGGAATTTAACCTCAAGGACAAGGGCAGGTACTTTAATCAGAGAAACCTTGAGGAGCGTTGATCTCTATCCACCCAGGCCCCCACAACGGCCCTTAATACAGTCACGTGCCAACACACTGACCCTCCAACTCATCAGCTTCGGGGCCTGGACTGGCTCTGACACCAAGGCAGCTTGGAAGTGCACTTTGTCCTTAACAAGGAAGAAAGTTTCTTTCTTGTTAGCCCCTGCTAATTAGTCTCTCATGGCTTGTTAAGAAGCACGAGGTAAGTTGACTGCAAGCCCGCTGAGAAGCTTTCGTGGTGATTAGGAAACTTTCTTGGTAAACCCCAGAAGGTCTTGTTAAGCTGATGGCTCCTGGAAGGGTGGTTGGTCCCCAAGGACCACTTCTTGCTCTGGGAAGGGGAGCAGCATCACTTCTGATGGAAATACCCGTAAGCAACTCTGTGGCCAGAGCCTGGAGCTCAGGCCTGCTGGAGGGCCTGCTGGAGGGCTCCCTGTGCTGGGACGAGCTTGGTCATCCACCCTCAATAAAGAAAGAGACATCTTTGTCTTCATGATGTGTTCAGATAACGTGCTCCCCTGGGTTCTCACTAGAGGGGTGATTTGTCCCTGCCTGCTTTTGACCCCCTAGCAGGGGGAGCCGGGGAAGCTCGTTGCATTTCTCCTCACCTTTGGACCTCCTCAAGGACACCTCACACCTTGAATTTCTTGTCATTAATTGCCTTGGGATAGATTTTCTTGTGTCTTGTTTAATTTGTAAACTGCGAGGCAAGTTGAGGTAGACTACATACATCCTCCGCGTCCGAGTGGTCTTTATAAACGTGATTTTCCTACCATTGCAAATCCGGGACTGGAGAATAAGCATGGGAATGGGTTCACCTGGCTCTCCACATCTAAAAAAATCCCTTGTCTACTGATGAGACAGTCGGCCAGGTCCCCTCTAAAAGCTGTGGGAATAAGAGGATGTTTTGTCACATCCTAGGACAGATGGTTGGGAGGGATGTGGTGCAACAGGGCCGAACACCGAAAGGACTGGTACCACGGACGCGCTGCCTGTGGCATATGCGTTTCAGAATTGTTTTCACTGGATTAAATTTATTCTGGACCGGGGATCTGAACATCTACTGGAAGTCAAACTGCATCAGGTGGCCCCCTCAAGTCCGTTTTCATCCAAAAGGAGCCCAGCTCGTGCAGCCTGATCCCAGCCTGCGGTGCAAAGGGAAGCACAGTGAGGGGAGAAAGCTGGGAGATGTCCAAACTTCAACTTTTTAAGCTGCACACTTTGTCTGAACAAGAGCTAGAAAAATGCAAACACACCTTTATTGATCACAAAATGGAGACAAGGAACTTTGACTTAATCGCTCAACTTTTATTTATCTGGATTTGAAGGAGATGAATCTACTTTGGACCACCTAATCCCTCCTCCCAACAGTCTTAATAATAATGATAAAAAGAGCTTAACTGTGTGGCTTTTTTTCTTTTAGCTGGACTTTATAAAGCAAAAAGAAGACACTTTGACAATTAAGAACCGTTTCGCCTTTTTTTTGCATGTTTTCCTACAAGTCATGCTGGAAACTTTTTGCTTAAGTGGCAGGAAAGGAGCAAGACGCAGTGAAATTCCCCAGGCCAGGCCTGGGTTTGGTTGCCCTCCTGTAGAAATCTGGTGCCATTTGCTCTGTCCTGAGGTGCCAAGGACATTGGCACGCACCTGACACGTATGCCGTGCAACTTTCGGAAGAGTTGGGCCGATCTGCAGCGACACCTGAAAGCTCAGAGGGAGACCCGGGGGCATCTCCAGGGTGTTAATAGTCTACGTTCAGGTAACTGAACTCGACCCCAGGTGCCTCTGTGCTTCTTGACATTGGTTCTTCCAATCTGACCCGTCCTATCCACACTGGTGTGAACGCTTCACCGGGAAAATAGCCTAGGACTGTGTTTATGTGGTGCAATACAGCATCGTGAAGGAGTAACTGGGACAGCTCAGGAGCAGAGGCACGTTTCTCCACGACACATGGAGCTCCACGACACATGGAACTCCACCGGAGCTACTGGTTTGGGCATATGTAAGGAATATTTAATCCAGATAAAGCACAGGGTGAAGAAGATGATGCACGATGACGAGGCCAGCCACTGCTAAGATCCCATTTTATAGTACAGGTATGAATTATATACGGGGAGAGGTGGGAAGGAGAGGAGGTCTGTCCGCACAGTGGCGTCTCCTGCCCATCAGGAAGCTCTTCAGGATCAGGAGAGCTTATGCTCCTGCGTTGCATCCTCCTGCACCTATTGTGAAAAGAGACAAATGAAAACACAAACGAGAAAAGACAGGTACACTTCTTGCTGCACCTTTGGGGAACGTAATCGCTGCTTTTCTTCTGCCAAGAAGCCGTCTGTCTCTTCACCAGTCTCTTCAGTGCCTCTTTCACCTCCTGGTTCCTCAGGCTGTAGATGAAGGGGTTCAGCATGGGGATCACCACTGCGTAAAACACAGAGATCGCCTTGTCCCTCCCCAGGACGTAGGTGGAGCTGGGCCGGGCGTAAGTGAAGAGGATGGAGCTGTAGTAGAGGGTGACGGCAGTGAGGTGGGTGGCAGAGGCGGAGAAGGCTTTGCTCTGCCCCTCGGCTGAGCGCATCTTCAGGACGGCAGCCGGCATGGAGGCGTAGGACGTGAGGATGAGCGCAGAGGGCAGGATGACGTTGAAGGTCAGGATGAAGTACAGGAGTGCATGGTAGCTCTCTGTCACGTTGCAGGAGAGCTTCACCAGCGGGGGCAGGTCACAGAAGAAGTCATCGATGACATTGCTGTTGCAAAAGGTGAGGGCGAACGCGCGGCTGGTAATGACGGTGGAGTTGGCAAACCCGCTGAGGTAGGAGGCAGCCACCAGCCCCATGCGCAGCTTCTTGGACACGGCAGCAGTGTAGAGCAGTGGGTTGGAGATGGCCACATGCTGGTCGTAGGCCATCGCCGCCAGCAGGTAGCACTCGGTTGTAGGCCAAGCCACCGGAGACGAAGAACGGAGCAGCACATCCAGTGAAGGAGACGCTCTTGTCCTTGGAGACGTAGTTCAGCAAGATCTTGGGGGCGTAGATGGAGGAACACCAGAGATCCAGGAAGGACAAGTTCCCAGTGAAGAAGTACATTGGGGTATGGAGCTGTGATCTACGGTGTATCACCACAATGAGGGTGATGTTGCCCACGAGGGTGGTGACGTAGGCTAAGGTGAACACCATGAACAAGAGAAGCTGCAGCTTTGGGTCAGTGGTGAACCCCAGGAGGATGAAGGTGGGGACTGAGCTGTGGTTCTGCTTCTCCATGGACAGTGGAATGGGACTGAAATGGAGACACGGATCATGGCGGTGATTTGATATTTGCAGCGTGGGGTCTGGAGACACCGGCTAAGAGAAGGGCTTCCATGTTGCTGGCGTCACTCTCTGTACCAAAACGCAGCTACACAAAGAGAGTAAATTTTGGGTTGAGGAGGGCTGCGTTGTCCTGGTTTGCATCGTGCTGGTTTATGTCAAACAGAGGTTTAGCGTTCGCATCGCTTGGAGAGCTGCGTTCGCCGTGAACGCGCGTACAGGCGCGCACTCTGCGCGGTGCTGAGCGCACGGATATGCACCGAAGCAGCTTCTATCCGTTGCATATGTTGCATTAAATCCTTAATAAAATAAATGCAGGAAACAGGATATGAAAATACGAGGGTGTGTATACACGTGCGCGCGTGTACCTCTGTAGGTATTTGCTGACTGTGCATTCCCTGACTGTGGTGAACGTGAAATCTCAACCTCAGCACTGCGCCAAATTGCTCGCACTCCTTAACTTGAAGTACCCGGGGAGAAACTAGAGAAACCCGTGGAAGACAAACGCGTGTAGATTCGCCATCTGGTACAAACCAACACGGTTTCATCAGGTCGGTTTTCCTGAGCCGTACCAGTAAAAGCGCTGCCTCGTTAAGTTTTCTGTTTTGCATGAGCAAACACTGACCGGTTGGATGTGCGCCCTAAAAGCCGT